TGTGATTTAAGTGGCTTGGGAAGGACCCTGACTAATGTCTACCACAGTGTCTTCACTGGATATCTCCTCTCCCAGACAGTTCCTTTCATGCTGTTCCTGCCATAAAAGGATTGAAAGTAGAGCTAAAATTCCAACTCTGATATCTCCGGACAAAGTAAATCAGAAGAGCAGCATTACAAACTGGTATTTAGCACAACAAAAACAACAAAGGGTTGTTTGGTTGGTTTTTTCCTTTAGATTTCAGAAGTAATGTTTTTGGTTTTGAATGGGCTTGAAGAATCATTAATCCCCACTATTCAAGTCTTAGGTATTATTCATAGACTCAACTGATTTCAGTGCTGCCATCTTGACGTGGCCCATCATATGTATTTTTGGGGTAGCTCCACTGTTTCTCATCTGTTTCAAGACCCCATGTGCCAGAAATATGCTGTCAGCCTTTGTCTATAATCTGCTGAACAGCTTCGCCTGGCAAAGGGGGCATAAAGCAAGAAAGAGATGATGGTGTTGCATGGTAACCAGGAAATATATAGCTTTGGAGTAGAACACAAGTGAAAAGGAATCCAACATAAAAGGATCTTTCTTCTCTGCAGCTTAGCACAAGTATACCTCTCTAGTCACATAACCTCAAGTGTATGGGAGTACCTATCACCTGACCATACATGGGTAGTCTCACGTCTCAGGGGACAAAAGAGATGAGTACATAATTCACAAATATAATCTTTCAGGAAAATCTTACCTCTCCTGTGTCCTCGGTTAGACAGTATCAAAGACGTACTTTCAGAAATACTATTAGAGTCACTGTAGTCCACAGAGAGTTGTCTGTAATCTTCTGTTGACCGACTATAATTCATTAATCTGGATCCTTTGTCTGGAAATAGAAATGAATTATGATGAATCACATACTTGAATTATAAATCATTGTATCTGGATGATAATGTAAATAATACTTGTCTTGACTAATTTTTATATAGTCCATGTCTGTCTTCTAACCCTGACTTCAATTCCTTAAGGCCCAAGGAAAGCATGGTAACTTCATTCTATTACTTTCATAATCTTATTCTGACCCAAAATACTTCTCATAGTTCTCCTCAACCATTCCAAATAAACCAAATCTAATATATTAATTCTATTTTACATGTGTAACTGAAAGGTTGCAAAGAGCAGATAATTTGCAAAGTTCTCCTTCCTTATATTCTGAGGCCCAAAACCTTCAGGTATAAAGTATTCTTTCTGTGCACAGGATGAACAGTGCCCAGACACAATCCACTACTAGAGTCAGCTGCAGATATTTCATTAAGGGGTCATCCTAAGTCATTAGGAAGTACATATTTCTGTTGTGCTCTAACTTCACTTTGGTTGCATTGTCTCTTGTACTTTTCCAGAATCTCTAAAGGTGATCATTTTTAATTAAAAAGAGAGAAAGAAATGAAATTCTGCCTTGAAAAGTGTGACTCATATATTCTCAATGTCATCGATATTCTGATTAACTGAAGTCCTTCAGCAAGTGTAAGCCACATGACCTGAATCCCTAGAAAACACAGAGATCACCACAGATTCTTAATCATTAGAACCAGTGGAAGGGAAATGGCAGAAATTTGTGGCTAATAGGGGACTGAAGATGGGGCCACCGCTTATGGCGGCAGCAGTTTTCACCAGCTTATGCAAGTGTGACCTCTGTAAGCTCAGTTTCTGAATGAGTGAGCAAGCCAATATGATTTGAGGAGTGGTTTGTCTGTATGTTTTGAAAATAATCTTTTTTTTTGTGACCAATAATACCTAACAGAAAAGTTCCACAGGTATGTAAGTGTGTGTTTAATTCTGGCTGAAGGTAATGGAACATAGATGTGATTTGCTGAATAGGAATCGGATTGTTCATATGCCTAATGTTAAGCATATCTAAAAAAGCCTGCATAGCTTGGACCAGCCTTCCCCTTGCCCCAAAATCAGAGATTTCTGTTGCGGTGAACAGTACAATATAGAGACTAGAAAAAAGAACTGTGTGAACCTGAAGTCCGCATTTAGTTACAGTTAGGTGATTACTCTGAGGGAAAATAAAATCTTGATCTTAGTCAAATGAAATGTGAAATTAGTATATGCTAGTTTATTTATACAGTGAGCAGGATTTGTCCTTGTGTTTTGAAATCACTCTAGCAATCCATGTGTGAATTTATAAAACATCTTTTGAATAAAAAACAAACAAACAAACAAATCTGAAATCAAAAAGAAACTACAAATCTTCGCTGTAGTAATCAAATAGAAAGGATGAATATAAATTCCTTAATGGCAACAGAATAACTTTACAGAATCCCACTCTTTACCTTGGAAAATACACTAGAGTATACGAAGTCCAAAAGCAGTTTTGAAAGTAGGAGTTTCTTTACATGCACAGTTTTTATGCAAAGTGCTTTAAGAGTCAAATTTGTGCAAGCTGATTTGTTATCATTGTTTCACAGCCCTCAGACTACTGTCCTTTGAGGAAATAAGGAACCAAAACCTTGCTGACTTGCCTCAGAGTCTTTCCATTATGAAGTCATTTATATGTAAAGCAATAAATATCCTATCCAACACTACATGTAATCACTACAGCATGAAATTAAACAATTCACCTAGCTTGGGAAAGAGAAAAGGCTGGCTGTATTCTTATTAGACAGTTCAGAGTATAAGTCTTTGTTTACCTGGGTGAAAATTCATCTGGGAGGACAGTGGTGAGGTGTCCAATATTTTCTCATGCAATCTTTTCCTAATCGCATGACTTCTGTTAAGCTGAGAGGCTGTGCTGTCTTCAGTGACTACCCACTCTACCTAGAAGACAGTAGTACTGCAAGTCAATGTCATATGAAACGTGGACTTCAGACTCTCATACTGAAGTGATCCTTGCCCTCTGCTTGTCAGAGGCTGCTGATTTGCTTGGTATAATCAACTTCATCTTCTCAGATTAACACAAACCAGGACTGAGTTTTGCTGGCTTCATGCTCTCATGCTAGTTGTGTTGAAGAATGGACACCCTCTGTTACAGTGGAAAACAGAGTAATAGAGAGTGCAAGGGAAAGGTCGTCTCAGAATGTTAATGAATCCTGGTTGAAGACAGAAAAAAATATTTGCAGTGTTTTTTCTTCCAATCTTGTTCAGCTTGTCAACAAAAAATATTTGTTGATATTTAAAATCTTGAAAAAGTATCAGGTGCTTACTTATTAAAGACTTCACGTGGTTGGGCTTGATTGCATGGCAAATGTTAGCTCTACTCAAGGATGATGAATGAAATTCTCAATATGATGTAAAAATGATTTCTTTGAATTTCATAAAAGAAAGTCTGAAACAGAGTGGCAATGTGGAAATATTTTCTCTTTTGTAAAGTCCATTCCTTTGACCAATATGAAGTCTCTGTAAAGGTTATGATTACTTCAGTATTAACCAAAGAAATGAAGTTACTGTAAGCAGAAAAGCTGGATTTGTATCATTTCCCAGAATCGTAAGTGTGGTGTGAGAGATGGCTTCATTGCCTCATTTGCTTGTACACATGTCCACTCAATTTCCTGCTTGGAAGTCTAGAAACAAATCTCACTTCCATAATTTATACAAGCATTAATTTCAGGCAATTGCTCACCTATATCCCATGTTGCTGCTCACTTCTCTTACCACAGAAAAGGAGATGATTAGAATATGAGAGTAGTACCTACCTCACTGACACTTCCCACAGCAAACTGGACCATTTTCTTTATGTAGACGTTTGCTGGTAAGGAAGCAGATTCCTTCTGATGTGCCTCACATGCTTCCAGAATTGATTCAGGAGAAAGTCTTTTATGTGGTAGATCTTCACATAGCGTCAGCAAGAGTGTGTGTAGTTGGTCACTCAGCTGGAGGGACTGAGTCAAAATGGAGGTACTGTTAAATGACATCTCTCAGTGGTGTGGAATCCTATGTAAACTGGAACCAGAAATTTCTGTAAGCCTTTCACCATGAGTGAGAAAAGGGCACTGAATTCCTTTAAACTTTGGGAGAACTCCAGACAGGCAGTATAACAGCGCTAGATGGAGCCTCCAATGGGATCCAGGATAGCCTTGGAGGGAACTGGCATCTACAAGGAGGGTCATCAGCCTGTATTGGGATTTTGTGACAGACAACAGCTCAGTCTGCTCCACAGCTTTGCTAATTAGACTGAATCTTAAAGATTCATGCAAGTAAGACGTGGCAGCATTAGCTGCAACAAGGTGAGGAGTTATACCAGCCAAAATGGTTGCTATAGAGACCAGATATTTAAATTTTAGAGTAATTTAGCTTATAGAGCCTTTTCTCTTAGACCATGTATACCCATGAAAGAGAGGTTAAATCTACCCAAAGCTTGTGCCCTCGAAATCAAAAACACACAATCAAAGGCATGGATATAGAAATGAAGCAAAATGTGTGCTACAAATCTTTGGAAGGATTCTGGGTAAGCAAGAAATGCAAAATTTCAACTAGCAGAGATGCTGGTAGAATTTGCTCAGAAATAAGGACAGTGATTTAGTTTTATTCCAGCATCCTATTCTTTGAAAAAGCATATAAATGTGCACAGCACCACAGTCATGCTAACATGATGTTTTTCTTTTGGCCCTTCCTATCTTGGAATCATAGAATCACAGAAACATAGAATCATTTAGGTTAGAAAAGACCTTTTAAGATCATCAAGTCCAACTGTAAACCCAACACTGCCAAGTCTACCACTAAACCATGTCCTTAAGTGCCACATCTACACGTTTTTAAATACCTCCAGGGATGGTGACTCAACCACTTCACTGGGCAGCCTGTTCCTTATTACAGCCTTGAAATAAATAATCTTCACTCGTAAAAGCAAGGTACAATTCATCTTAATGGGAACAATTCTGGTTTTTGAAGAAAAAGTTAAAAAAAAAAAAAAAGATGAGGCCTAACTAAATTCCTGATTTGGATGAACCAGTATTTTTGGTGAAGTCTGGACCTTGACATAAGCTTTCCAATTCTTTCTAGTAGTCCAAAACATAAAGCCTCTATTACTGAGACTTCAGGTTATACCTCTCAATCTTTGAACCTACCAATATAAAGTAGAATAAAAGAAAACAAAAATGTTTGTGTTACTGGCCTGGTTTGGAGGAACTTGGTAGTCTGCTGACCAATAGAGGGTCATTCCTAAGGAATACACCAACATCTGTCAAAACAGAAAAGAAAACCTTTTGTGAAGTCAATATTAAATACAGAAAAGCCTTGTACTAGAGACACCATCTTTTTGTGTCTTTGGTCACAAAATGGCAGAAGCCAAACAGATAATTTTTAAAAATACTAGACTAGAGGAAACATACATAAAAGTACAATAGTGACTCTTGGTCATGGACTAGAGAGGATGCAATGAGTACTGTTCAGCTTGAGAGGCTGAGCCAGGCTGCACTTTATCCAATGATGCCATGAGTAGGAAAAGAAATTTGAACTCCTTCCTTAGTTTTGAAGTTCTCCCATTGGTGATTAAAGCTCTCCCCTGCCTGTGGGACTGACTAGCAGTCATGTCGAGGAAGAGGATTACTGGAGTAAGGGCCGTCTATTCCAAAGCTTCATGTTTCTGCATAGTGTCTAAGCGATCAGTTGTGTGGGAGTCCGAAACTACTGTGTTCTGCCTGAAGGAGGTATGCACTGATGTGGTCCTAGTGATATCCAAAACTTTTAGGTACCTGAGTGTTGTATCTTACTGTCTTGCCAGAGAGACTTATTTGGCAGGGAGAAAAAAAGCAATTTATTTACAAAGCTGAACATATTTCTGGCTTCCTGGGAGTGCTTCCACTCTCTGATTGTATAGATACTGCAATCTTGCTAATTTGGGGAAATTTGGGGATTACAGTTACCATATCTGGTCAAACATCATGTTTGTAGAAATACTGTTCCTTCCTGTGAGCTGTCACAAATAATACATTTCTGCAGACCTTGAGGATTGATGTTCAAAATTCAGGATTTTGATGTTGACATGCATGCTAATCTAATGGCGAGCTGCAAGATGCATGTAAATATTTCTAACTGTAGCCTAATTTGTTTAGTCTTATTAGAAATTGAGTTTGACAGTAGTTACCTGGTACGCTGCAATAAAACCCACAAGCTTGACTTCGTCAGGTACTGTCAAGATTTATTTCGTAATATACCTCACCTTCGTTAGTCCGATGCACTGGTTTTTACTGTGTCTGTGGAGCAATTCTGGTGCACTGAAAGGGACAGCTTCTGTATGAGATGCATTGTTTTGAAAGGACAAATTTCCTTCAGCAGACAGTAGTACTGACCATGGACAGATCACACAGATGGCAGGGTCTGAAAAACGTTGAAGAAGATAATGGAGTTCTTAGTGTTGAATTCACTGTGCACAGAAAATCGTATTGCTGGTGTCTCACCTGCATAGCCGAATCCATCACTAAAGTTTCCTGGAGGTGTACCCCAAAGTCAGTGGAATGATCTTCATTTATGCCTGGCTGATTTTGTCAGCTGGAATTCAGTGATGGTTAAAGATTGATTTCTCTCTCACATCATTTCACACATATAAACAACATATTGATTTCAGTGGATTTCTGAAGCCTAAGGAAAGGCAGAATTACATCCCATGTGCAGATTCTGGAGATCTTGTCCATCAGCAGAAGCTGAGGTAGCAGTAGAAACAAATTTCCCAAGTCCCAGTGCTACAACCTACTAAGCTTTTCTTTAAGTAGAAAAATTATTTCCAACTAACCTGGACTTTAGGATTTTTTTTACCAGAATGCCAAAAGTATGAAGACTATCCAGGCTAACAGAGTAGATTCTACCAGTAACAGAAACAGCTGTGATATTTTAGCATTATTCACAGTCAGTCTTCCTGTCTGCATGTCAGTTCTGTTAAAAGAGAGGGGTTATTTCACACCAAAGTGTTTTCAAATGAAATGTAGACTTCTAAACCTGACAAGGTCCTGAGGACACTAATAGGCCTTAATGGTCCTGACCAGCCCCACTTGAGAGCTACCCCCATCCTCTGTCCACAGTCCCAGGCTCCAGTTAAGCTCAGCCCAGGGCCTTGAGTCCCTGCCCAAGGTATGGTGTAGGAGTGCCTGTCTCCAGGTCAACCACAGCCATGCCTTGCCTATGATCCTAACCCACAGACTGACTTCCCAGCCTGACCTCAGACTTGCCTTGTCACTGTGGACTTGCCTGGTGATCACGGGGCTGTGTAACCCTGGTTGCCCATTCCAGACCTGATCCTGACTCAGCTTCGCGTTTGACCTTGGACCTGCCTTGTCACCACAAACTTGCGTGGTGGTCTGGATTCTCAGTAGTCAACCTCAGACCTGCTCTGCTCACCTTTTTTGGGAACTGTGGGATAGGGCCCTGGCTGGCACAGCCCCTTGCCCTGCCACTCTTGTAACTGTGCTTGGGTCTGGGCTCCCTGTGCCTTACAGAACAGCTTGCTCTTGCTGATCCCTGAAAATATCTGTCTGAAGGTGTCTTGGTAATGGACTGGATTCTTCTTGTAAAGGGCTGAGTACTCTTAAAAAATATCCCTGCAGAGATCCACTGAGGTCAGTCCCGGTGGTCTGAAGCAGGAGCAGAAGCATGAGGATGTGCACTCTTCTGCAAACACTCTGCACTTGCATACGTACATTAAGTGAATTTGACCAAAGACATCCAAGTGTCTATCAATCTGTTTACTTTAGAAAGAGGAAAAGCCTCATTAACTATGGCAATATTTTGATATAGGCAATTTAAAAAAAAAAAAAAAAAAGTTGGCTGTTTGTGCTGGTTTTGGCTGTTAATTTTCTTCGTAGTGGCTGGTATGGGTCTATGTTTTGAATTTGTGCTGAAAACAATGTTGATAATACAGAGATGTTTTAGTTACTGCTCAGCAATGCTTACACAGTGTAAAGGCCTTTTCTGCTTCTCACACCACCCCACCATTGAGGAGGGGTGCACGAGAAGGTGGGAGGGGACACAGCTGGGACAGTTGATTCCAGCTGACCAAAGCGATATTCCATACCATATGACATCATGCTCAGCATATAAAGCTAGGGGAAAAAGACCAGCTTGGTTCTACATCCCTACTTCCTCTTGTTTTACTCTTCATCGTCTAATCATAATACCCTAAATTGATCTGGTGCAGCAAAGGGAACATAGGCTGATTATCTCAATTCAATAGACATCTGACAAGTTGGGGTTTTAAAAAACAAACAAACAAACAACAAAACAATAAACAAACAAAACAACCAAGAGTTCAGGAGAGCATAGTGTCAGCTTAGTGTCTGGTACTGAGCTAGTAAGCTGTGATGGACCTGAGCTGAATCTATGGGTGGGTATCTCTGTGCTGCAGTCCTTTACATATTCCTGGTGCCTGTCTTGTCTGGGCTGTTCTATCCTCTTGTTACACTAAATAACAGAGAACCGATGGTATACTCAACCTGCTATTGTGTTCCAGTCCATTAAAAACTAGTTGGTAATAGCAGTTCACCCCTCCAGCTATATCTGAAGTTACATATCATTTGTTTTCAGTATTCTGTATTTTGATTCTACATGCTCAGGAGGTAAGAACGCATCTCATCCATTCTCCTCTCAAAAAGAATATCCATAGTCTTAAACAGTTCTCAAAATGTGACAGGTTTTGTACAGCTGGCCTGCTTAGCAAGCATTCATCATGATGACTTGCCTAGCCATTATGATAAGTCACATTATTATCAAGGATAAAATTCTCTTACTAGCTGAATGAGGAGCCGTGTGGATTTGCCTGTCCTCCTCTATCAATACATGAAGGACATGATCCTAGCTGGCACTGCACTTTCCGTGCATGTATATTATTCATATTTTAGGAAGGACTCTTCTGTCCTGTTCCACCATGTACAGTTGTACTTAGATGAATGAATATCTGATATGTAATTTGAGAAAAAAAAAAGGATGTGTGAAGATTTCTTATATAGGTAGAGCAGTCTGAATGTAATCCCAGGAGCACTGGAAGATTTCTCTTTTTTATTTACAATATTCTATTATTGCCATTAGTGCTTTTTGTCTGAAAAAAAAAAATATCAAAAAAGCTAAAATAATTCAAGAATGAGTTTCCAACAGTAAAAACTGTAAGAAGATACTTTTCACCTCACCTTTGTGAAGGTCCTCCAGAAGCTGCACTGTGGCTAGGTACAAGACTGCCCAAATTTCTTCTTCCTCCAAAGGGCTTCCTTTTGCCCACAGGACCTCGGCCAGTGTCACACAGGAACTGCTCATGCCTGCTGCAATAGAAACCAGATTTTGACCACACTAAAGTAGACTGAATTGCTCAAGCAAACCATACTGATTACAACTGTACCCTTCTCTCACAATAAGAAATATTTTATGAACCACTCTGCTTCTTTGTTCACAAAAGGTGGGTATCATTCAAACTTATCGTAATCTGAGTAAGAGTAAATAAAGGAGACTGAACTAAGTGACTTACTTCCTGTAAGTTTTTTCAGCCCTTTTACTCATCAATTGAAACTAATCACAAGATTCTGTGGGGCAAATATTTTTTACTCAGGAGATCCTTCATGAATATATGCTGTTCAGAATTTGTGAGTGGTTATCTGAATGGTAGGGCATTGATTTTGCTGCTTAATTGGATGCTCTTGTCTATAAAAACATGACAGTTAATCTAAGAGAAAAAGAATGGCAAAGCAAGAGAGATGCACTGTAACATGAAAGGTTTATAAACACAGTCCAACAGAGCAATTGAGTTTTATTCATTGCTCAGCAGATTGATTGGTAAAAGCTTGTAGACTCTTACTGAATTCATTGATGAGACATTTTCTTGGTCAGATATCTGAGACTCAGAACTTGTAGTTCATCCATACCAATATACGTACAAACTTGCTTTGTTTCACTAAATCAAATTAAAAGATGATTCCCTCTGTGAGCTGCTGAATAGCAATTTAGTGGCTCTCAGCACACTGTCCTATCTGACAGGTACATAAGACCTGGTGTACTGCAGAAGAATGTTGGTCCACACACTTTCCCTGTTTTGTCTCAGCTGCAAAGCAGAATCAGATCATTTAGAGAAAGGCAGCCTGTAGTGAATCATAATTTAATGTCTTACATATTGAAAAAGTATTTTCCTAAGCCCAGCCAACTAGAAACTGACTTGTGACTTGAAGTATCAAGGTTGCTACGAGGACAGGTTGCGGGAGCTGGGACTGTTCAGCCTTGAAAAGAGAAGACTTCGGGGGGACCTAATAGCTGCCTTCCAATACCTGAAGGGAACCTACAGGAAGGCTGGGGAGGGACTTTTTACAAGAGTGTCCACTGATAGGACAAGGGGAAATGGGTTTAAGTTGAAGGAGAACAGATTTAGATTAGATCTTAGGAAGAAATTCTTCAGTACGAGGGTGGTAAGACTTTGGAATAAATTGCCCAGAGAAGTTGTGGATGCCCCCTCCCTGCAGGGGTTCAAGGCCAGGTTGGACGGAGCCTTGAGTAGCCTGATCTAGTTGAGAGGCATCCCTGCCCATGACAGGGAGTTTGGATTAGATGATCTCTAAGGTGCCTTCCAGCCTATGCCATTCTATGATTCTATGATTCTTTTCCTCTGAATATTTTATCATACTAAATATTGTCAAAGAAGGTTTTGTTCTTCATAAATGAGTCTGATTTTTTCCATTTCACTAGTTTTACCTTTATGTAATTTCTAATCTAGGCAGAGCTGCTCTAGGTCTACACACTGTAAGGAAAACTGAATCCAAGCTTAACATTTGCTAAAAATTTTTGAACTTAATTTATGCTTTTGCTGTTACTATCCTGTAGCAGAGAGCTCCATAGGTTCATTGTATGCTGTGTAAATAGGGCCATAATGAGAAATGTTGGAAGTGATCCACCTGTTGCTTTGAGGTTTTGACGTTGTCTGTAGGCCACCAAGTGAGGACACTAGAGCCTAGGATGCTATTGTCATGTATAGGATTATAAATGCCACTGTAAAATGACTTCCCTTACAGTCTGAAAACAGATCTTTCCCCCTAACCATTTCTTCTCCCTGTATACACAGGTCACTTACTGCTACCATTTGCTCTCTGCCTGCAAAATAATTTACTGTGTTTTACAGCTGATTTCTTTGCCAGCTTCCCATTTATTATGCAGTCTTCAAGGGGTCACAGCAAGAGCATTACAATGTTCTGCAGGACCAGCTTGTTGCTGATTAATAGACTACCTAGACTTTGATTCATGGGTTCTTGTCCTGGCTCACTAACTTCCAAACAAGGAATCACAACATTGGAATGATGATCTGCTGCAATCACTACTGGATTATGGACCAACCTACTGACATTTTAAACAGAAACAGAGTCCTAATTTTAGTCCCTGTAGCTTCAAAGGATAGTAAAGCTTCTTAAGAACCTAACCTTAATTAGAAGAGACAGACAAATCTTCTTAATCTAAGCCATCACCATTTCTCTTAATAATAAATTACTGTGATAGAATTTCACTTAACCCTCTGGACCTGGGACTAAGCAATCAATTCACATCCCCAGAGCTAGAATCTGTGTGGCTTCTCCATATGGGTAATCCACCAGACTGTACTTAGTGCTGTTTTATTTGAGACCGTGCTGGCAAGAGGAGCACTGCATCCTCTATTTTAGATAGAAGTGCTTATACCAAGTGATTTCAGTGCTGATATTTCTAACTAGATTAAGTTACTCAATAAGCAACTATTCAGAGTGCAAGCGTTATAGCTTTATAGAGCCAAAGTGAAATCAGCGGGTCCAGAGCTGCTTAACTTCTGTAGTGAATGTTTTTTTCTAAGAGTAAGAGTAATGTCTCAGATCAATTCTATGTATGAGTTAAATGAATTCTGCTAGCAATGAAGTACAAACTTCCTCCAAAAATTGTTAGATTGTATGGCCATGGAAATCATCATCTCTTTAAAGTGTAATAAATTAATACTTTAATGTAATGTAGAGTTAAGTGATGCATTATTTTACAAGCAAATTGGCAATTGGTTTTTAAGCACACTCAGAATGCCCTGTTAATTATGGGCTGTATTTTTGACTTTTGGTTTTCAAGACCAGCATGGTGTGATATGTGACAAAAATATAACTGTGTGAGTGCCTGGGGAAAAAAAACCTTTCATTTCCTTTTATAGCCAGGCTACACAATGTATATGATATGAGAGTAAAAGTGATATAAAGATATTGTTATCACTGTAGCACTACTCATGGTCCATCAATTTAATAAAAGCTGTGATCCAGAACCAAACAATTCTGACCTTCAAACAAGCTACAACTGATAAGGCAAAGCAGACAAATTAGGAGGCAAGGAGGAAAAAGTTAACAATAACCTTGCAAAAAGGGACTTGATTGTTCACAGTAACCATACACATCAGGAAATGATGCTAGATCTAGTTGAGCCTGCAGGGAAAAATTAGAGCAGCAGAATGTAATCATCCACTTCGGAGTTTGGCCAGGATATAGAGGTTAGCGTTTCTGTGCCCATAAAATGTAGCAAAGGGCTTTCGGTGCCAATTCGTGCTCTGAGGTCAGAGACAAATCTCCTGCTGACTTCTACGGGAAAAAGTAAGGCCATCCAAATAGGCAAATTAGGTCCCATTCTAATCTTTGTAACACCTGAATTCATTACATGGACTGTGTCAAGTCAATAGATTTTCCCTCAGAAGAATTTAATCTACTCTTCTTGTAAAGATATGAAAGATAAACTGAGTTGAGGATAACCCATCATTTTGCCACAAGCATCCACCTATTTATCACATTTCTTTTAAATTATTTTATTCTATTGTGTTGTATCATATGTGCAGGCTTTCATCCAGTCATTGAAATCTAGGGTCAATGAAAGACATTGAATTGATTACAAAAGGTGCATGTGAATTTAACACTCAGTAACAATCACACATTAGTAATTTCATATGCCAGGGTCACTTTACATGCAGTTTGGCTTTATTAGATTTGGCAATCTTATTCAGTAAAATGTAAGAAGCAACTTGGCTTTTGTCAAGCTGTATAAAGACTTGCTTTTTTGACTGTATAAAGACAACAAAAGAGCTAAAATCTATTACTTTTG